ATAGAAAAAAAAACTGGATCAATAGATAGTTTTTACACTTAATAACACAACTGTGATTTAAAATAGATGAATTATTTTATTGCAAGACACTATTTATTTTTTGTTGTGAAGGCAACCAAAAGTGTTGGCTTCAGCACCTATATAATGAATTTCTTAAAAGACACCCCGGAATCAAATGATCTGCATATTAGGATCTAAAATATTCTACATATATGCGCAGCGAGCCTATCATATAAGAAAATCTTTCAATTTACACGGATTGAACAAAATAATGGAAACACTTCAATTTTTTTAATTCCAAATTTTAGTGTCTCTAAGGCGGAAAATGTGGTTATATAATATAGTAATTTAACTGTGCAATAAACAATTCATATGTCAATGAATATGACTGTATACGAGTAGTATATTGTTGTCTTTCAGAGTAAGGTCTTAAAAATGCCAAACTAAAAAGATTTCACAGATTTCCAAATACGCATGATTGTAGGTGACTGACTCAACCTTCAGTGACATTAACATATAAAATAATGAATGTATCCCGAAGAGTGTTGTTGTTGAATTTTGTGCAACGCTAATCAAGGGCTATCCGCGTTAATCATCCCTATTTTTGAAGTGATAGACCACAAGGAAAGTAGCTAGTCAATACCACCCACCACCAGCTCTTGGTCAACTCTTTACTAATAAATAGTGGTACTGACAATAACATTATAATGCCCCCCACGGCTGAAAGGGACGAACATGTTCGGTGTCGGTTTCGATCCCGCGACTCATAGATTGCTAGTCAAGCGCCCTGACCACCAGGTAATCTTAAGTCCAAATGGTTACGTAAAGCTTACAGCACACCAGTCCACCCTCTTATGAACACTATTTTCAGACAGACATTGTCTGTTTCAATAAGACAATACATCAATTAATATTGTCAAAATTGTTCAAGTTTGATTCAAAGAACACGAAAAAGTGTTAGGGCACCTAATCTGGCCATCACAACCGCAAGATTTAAATGTTATTAAGCGTCTATTGTTAGTTCTTGAAATATCACTATCTGATGCACAAAAACCTTGCTCCATCAATTTCACCGTCGTATCCAAGATCGTATTGGCTGTTCACGGTAGACCAACTCCATAACAATAAATCAAATGTAGAAATGAACAGGTGCGAAATTAAATCAAATTCAAAACGTACCAGTACACAATTAAAACATTTTTATCGAGACCGTCGACGGCATCCATTTAAAAACACTACATGTTTCGACAATACTTTGTAGACAATTGCAATAAAAGTGTTTTAATGATAAACGTTGAATTTCGTTTATTTGGTTTCAACTTTTACACAAGCGCAGATCATTCACATTTATTGAGGTATTGTCATTATTTTGTCCAATTCCTGTACTTACCTTCTTTATAATTTTATTCTGCTTTGTTTCCATCTCGTAATTTAATTTTGAACAAGATTTGACAAAATATTTCATACAGATTAAAAAAAACACACACAACAGACAAGTATTTTAAATAGTTCAAAATAAAAGTAATGCATAGTTGGCAGTTACTAAAAATATAAATAATTAGTTGTTGGAGAAGCCTGCGACTCTCTTACAAGGGAATTAACGCAGTTAGAAAATTACCACCAGAGTATTTGTCTCTCGTTTTGATTAAACTTTTCTCCTCTCTCACTTTTACGACATTTGCCCTTTTGGCTCGAGCAGTAAGAATTAACAATGGAAGCACCTCAAACCACAAGCTACACAAGTATGGAATGTTCACGCCCTAACAAAATAATTGCACGTGAAACACCATAGATGTTCAAATAACTTGTTGGATTATGCTGTTATACAGTAGCATTTTAAATTACGCATGGAAATTATTTCTCGAGTTTATGATGACACTTCGTTGTTCTGAAATGTTAAATATTTGGTTGTTTTCTCTTGTAATTATGTGTTAAATATGTTTCGTAAACAGGCATGAGCAAATGATATCTTAGTTTTTTTTTCTTAAGTTAACACTGTAGTCCAATCGAGAACTTTCCAAAACTCTAGTCAAGGCCATCCAAACTATCCACGAACTGGTCATCTAGCCCAGTGGTTCCCAAACTCTTTTAGTCTGAGGCTTCCTTGATGTGAATAAAAAAATTTGAGGCCCCCAACCTATAACTTTAGCATGATCACTGAAAAACAGAGCTGTAGCAAAAACAATAACATCTCCTTTCGACATAATGTATCATTTAATTAATTCAACATAATTTTTATCAGCTTATTGTTTATGTAGAATTAAAATTAATTCAGCATCTTTGTTTTCGGCCCATTTTTGGTGGCTCCCACTTTGGAAAACACTGATCTAGCCCACTAAGATATATCCAAATGAGAAAAACCTACTCATTAAATAGCATTCCAAGCATAAATAAAAATGATTGGTGAATGAAGAAACTAAGATAATGATAAGATAGCGAAGCAAACTCACACACGCACACAAAGGAACAGCATTATAAAGCACTTTCTAATAGTTTTTATTTGTGTATTGGTAAGCACAAAGCTACACAATGGACTATCTGTGCCCGTCGTGGGTATAAACCCGATTTTTAGCGCTATAAACCACTCAGCTTTACCGCTGAGCTACTGGAGGGCCTTCTTAACAGATGCTGGAACGTCAATTTTGAAGAATCGGACAGAGGAGGAATGAACTGACAAGTGAGAAGGTCGAGTGATCACAGGGATAAGAAAGTATTGAAAGCAAATAAATTAAACGTGAAAAAGTTTATGAAATAGTTTATGAATGAATTATGCAAAAAAGTTCTTCCTTGACGTGTTATTAGAAAATTCCTCTTCTTTCGGGTGAATTCAATATGAACTGAAAAACTTTTAATAAGGTCCACTCTCTTTTCGTCTATCCATTCTTAACATATATATAAAATGAAAAGTCGTTTATTATAATGTTTTGTCATAAGATAAACCTTGAAAATTACTATAAACTTTCATTTATAACACTTAATACAGTAAACAAATCATCAAAAGTCTATAAGACACATTTCCAGATATATAGTCGATTATAAATAAAATTAATCAAACGAGACATCAACATTAATTGAGTTCCAAAAGCATCTGAATTCGATCAGTCCTACTATACAATCCACTTTAGAAGTTGAAGATGAGGGTTGTTTAAACATTTTAGATGTTTTTTGTAATAAAAGAGAGAGGGGCTTTCTGTATACAGGAAGCCATTCTCAGTTGCCATGCCACCGAATGCGAGATCGTGTCACCCATGGTCACAAAGTCATCATTTTCGTCTTCTGTTGATAGAGCTATTAACGTTTCTTAATATGATGAGGATTTGATGTTAAAATTAACGCATTTAAAACAGGTAGCGATTTATAGAGGGTATCAACCTAAATTCATAGATAGGATGTATAGTAACTATTTACAAATAAATTATTGTGTAAGTAAAAAACGTTTATGTCTCGTTTGATTTATTAAATATTTTTTTTTGCACAAGAACTGTCTGTTTTATGTATTGATTTATATAATTTATTATGGTAATAAAAAATAATTATTGCTAAAAAAACCACATTATTCTATTTATTAGGATTAATCCGTAACTTCTATAATTATAATACGAAAATATGTATTATAGGAATCAAATAGAATCAACCAACAGTTCGGATTTTTGAACGACGAAAGAAGATGTCCATGCTAAGCATTAACTATTTAACTGATCAAAATAATGATACTGATGCTTACACATCTACCTGTGAGCTTTAAGGCATACTTAATGATTTAACTATCGGGTTTGGTAGATAAATCTACCATATTCAGAATTCCAACTACAATGTCTTCAAAACGTTTATATTAACAATATAAATAGTAATTCATATTAGAAAGTACGAATCACAAGAGTAAATTTATATGCAATAATTACATAGTTTAACCGCATAAATAAAGAATAATTTATTGCAAAACGTAATCAAATACTACGTTAAATGGAAAACATGGTATAACAGTAAGTATATGAAGCAAGTGCGATTAAAATAAAATAAAAACCAGTAATGCAAATAAAATGCCCTTTGTCATCAAATTTTGATCAGATCTTTTTGATTAGCTCTTTTTTTGTTAAGGGTTGTTCTTGAATACAATTTCTGTTCCCACGCTTTGACTGTTGAGTATTATTACAATTGATCACCAGATAAGCATTCTAAATTCAATTAGACTCTGAGATTTTACTTTATCCTTTTCGGCATTCATCAACCTCCAAGTGTAACAAATTTGAAATCAATATCCAGCTTCTCTCCTAGTGTCTACCACTGTTAGAATAAGCCCACTCATGGTGGATACAAGTTATGTCACCAAACTACGAATAACTTGACATATATTATTTGGGTGAAGGAAAAGGTATACTAAAAAATAAATTACTTATAGGAAAGGTACTACGTTATAGTGTGAAACGCAATAATCTCGATGTCCGAATAATAACTGTCATGAAGTTATTCGTGGTTGAGCATCGAAACCTATGTACACCGTAAGAGGGCGTGCCATTCCTAGAGTAACGCTACTGGGGAGTTTATATTTAAGCTCAAAGCTATACAATGGTCTATCTGCGCTGTGCCCACTACGAGTATTGAAATCCGGTTTTCAGCGTTATATGACTTTATACTTATCGCTATGCCACTATGGGGGCGCTACTGATGAGATGCCTGGATACTGAATACAGAATCGTTTGCCTATGTGCAATGTGACTGTCCAAATGATAAAAGGAAAACCTCATCAATTTATCATAGTTTAATTGCTAGGCTAGTTTGAAACTCACCATTAAAATCCCACAGAGAGCATCAACAAACTATGAAGGCTATCAAACAATGGAATAGAAATTTGAACAATACATATTGTAAAAATCTATTACACATGATATAAAATCAGTAAACCGTCGCATAAGAACCTTACAAGATAATTCTTCTCAATCACTTGTATACATTAATTACTTAGACAAAGGTAAAAGTAAAACAGAATTCGTGTAATTTACCTTGCGTTGGCCTGTTAATATATTCTGATTTCACATGCACCAAGTTAGGGTTAGCATAGAGTATTTTCTTGACTCCCTTCTTTTCCAGCAGTTTTCCTGATATTCCTATATAACATTCGAAACCTATTTAGAATCACTATTTCAAGTTACAGAATAATAATTTATTATTCAAAGTGGTTAAAGTTTCAAAATGTTATTTAACGACATTAAAAATAGTCACTGAGGTAAAATAACGTTACAAAGCTTTCGAATTCCCATGTTCATTATAGATAAAGAAAAACGTTCTGGAATTAGCAAGTTAAATCAAGAAAGGCTATGAATTGAATAACAAAAACTAAGTGACACACTTAAGGTTTGTTCTGGATAAGGTTACAGTTAACACAAGTGCTATTTAAATATACAATACCTATATAAACCAGTCATTTATGTTAAGTTATTGATGAAAGAGAAACTGTAGTGTATAGGATATACAACGTAAATAAACAAAAATAACAGTAGTTCTAAAATCACCCCGATAATCGCAAAGAAACGGGTACCTAATTTACAGGCGTCTCCATAACATGTGAATTAATTTCTGTTGCCCACTTACGTCAGTCTTTAGCAGTAGCGTTAGATTACCACCACCAGCAGAAACATCACCCTACGTACAGCTTTTTGTGCTACTAATTACTAATCGTAATATTCATACGTCGATAAAGATATAATCGAACCCTCACTTTCAGTCTTAGTGAAAGTCGTGTTCTTGTTGTGAGGAGAGTACTTTTATTTAAAATTGTGTTCTATGATAAAACAAATGGATGTTGCACGTACCACATTTATTTTTCTAATTGTCTGAATCTTGAATACCCAAAGTGTGAAATTGTTATGGATTTTTATTTGTAGTGCCATTGAGTAGATGGTGTAGGAGTTTTGTTTACATACATAGATACTGGCATACACGCTACGTACATTATAAGTAGTTCTATACATCCTGATTACTCAGCAAGTAGTTCTATACATCCTGATTATCCAGCAAGTAGTTATGTATATCCTAATTACGCAGCAAGTAGTTATATATATCCTAATTACTCAGCAAGTAGTTAGTAATTAGGATATATATAACTACTTGCTGCGTAATTAGGATATACATAACTACTTGCTGGGTAATCAGGATGTATAGAACTACTTGCTGGGTAATCAGGATATATAGAACTACTTGCTGAGTAATTAGGATATACATAACTACTTGCTGGGTAATCAGGATATATAGCAGCAAGTAGTTCTATATATCCTAATAACTCAGCTTTATACAACAGTAGTAGAATAATATCATGCAGACTAATGACTACATCATCACATACACCAGTTTCTTTTGCTACTTTTCACTGACAACAGTAATAGTTTTAACTATTTTATTTTTTTAAATGATACACGGAGAAAAAGACGTTTTGTATTTAAAATTGCGGGTCTATAAATATTTTGAAATGCAAAAACTATTACACTTGAACATATCAAACCAACTCGACACGCAGTAATGAACGAAAGACCATACGATTGACATACCATTATTATTCTGCTTAAAATGTTTTTCTACAGTAAAACTATAGTTTCGTACAATACAGCATATTCATATATCATATTGATAGTTTGAAACTACCTTAATTTGGGAAATTTTTATATTTATAATGGAAGAATTAAGCCAGTAGGTGACATTTGTTAGTATATTGTTTGTTGTTAAGAGCAAAGCTGTACAATGGGCTATCTGTGCTATGCCCACCGCAAGTATAGAAACTTGTTTTTAGCGTTATAAGCCCTCAGACTTGCCGCTAAGCCACCAGGGGCTGTTGTATATCATATAGATTATTATGTATAGTGATGAGTTTTCTAAAGCACGATGAAAATTCCTTTCTTACGATGACTTGTGAATAAAAACAAAAACAAATATTTCAACTTGTAATTGTTTTACAGGTTTCTTTTTACAATGTCAAATGCTATAGTCCAAGTTAAGGCTCAGAAATCAAATCTATAACCAAACTAATATGTTGAAACTGCTTTATTCGGAAGAAATCCATCAACTGCATCGCAACGATGATAATAATGTATTGACCTACCTAAAAATAAACCAATGACACCAAAAGTTGCGATTGGCATACTTGCGTCATATCACAGATAGATATACCTGTCAAATCATCCGAAGATATTGAGGTGCGATAAGTTTGTAGTATGGGAGAGACTTGGAAGATTCTTATTTTAGTTTATTTATTTATATATCTTTTTTTTTTTGCAGAAAACTTCTCCAAAGTACAGCTTGAATATTTCACAAGTTAAAAGGTTATACATTTTACGTGATAAATGATGGTAGCAAGAATTAAAGGAACAACCTTTTCAAAACGTTAAAACCTAAAAATGCATTCCCGTTCCTCAAATTTACAATAACGTAAAAGAAAAATAGTGTGAATGTACGAAAGGACCTGATTATTTGAGTTCTGTTAAAATTATCGCTTAAATTTCAAATAATATATATACACGCGATTATTTATTATGTCGTCTGAAACTTAAATATTAATATTATATTCACGCATATCGTAATTTTTCCACAACACTGCACGTTTCCCCATTTTTCACGTTAAATAAATTTTGTGTCAATTTAATCATTCATCTTTATAATATAATAGCACTGAAAGCATTCATATTTACTTTTTTATGCCTCAAGAAACTTTTGATTCACGATTATTGTTTTTAAACATCAGGATGCCCTAATGTGTCATCCTTTAGACCAATCTCTTCTATTTGCTCTTTGAAATATTATTGAGGAATTTCTAATTACAATGCGCTTTTTAATTCGTGATTAACTAAAAGTCACTAGCGCGTTGTGTAGTTCACTTCCCCCATATCCCGCAGCTCGTTTTATATGAGCAAGAGAAAAAGTACCTTTATTTTAAGCGGGTAAATTGCAATAAGACACGTACTGGCTGTAAAATTGTTAGTTTTGTCTATTCAACAGTGAAATTCCTCACTTTTATGCCTAACGATAACAAAATTAATGCATCAGGGATTTCGAAAACTTTACCTTATGCCTCAATGGCCAAACATGAGTAATTACTATACATTTTCGTTCAAATGACGCCATGTAAAATTGAGCTGATGTATAGCATTCGTCGCTACCACTACTGTTCTTACTACACACTACTTTCTTTGGAACTGAGTTTTCAAGTTGCTGACATAATAAGTAGAAAATTAAATGTTTGATAAATTACATAATTTGTTTACATAGACAATAGGAGGATTTGTATCTTGCTTCTCTTACAGCTAGATTTTAACAGTTTGAGTGCTTGTTTTGGAAAATCAAGGGCTACCTGCACTAACCGACCCTAATTTTGAACAAATACATTACAGCAGTGTTTCCCACCAGGGGTTCTCCGGTGGGATAGCGGCAAGTCTTCAGATTTACAATGCTCAAATCAAGGGTTCGATTTCCCTCAGTGAACACAGTGTGGCTTTGCTATAAAAAAAACACACTCCCAACCAGGGAGATACCGCCCCTAGTTGACGCTTTAAAATTTCAGGGGCAGTAAACTTTGAGGTGGTAGCAGGGGGCGGACAGAAAAGTTTTATGGGTTTCAAAATTATATTGGTTAAAATTAAACCATAAGAATTGACTATTATTGCCTTACAATGTACATTTTAGTAAAATATTTTAATGGTCTAAAAATTTATTAGAAGAGGGCGCTGCGGCGAAAAGATTGGGAAACTGTATTAGAGGAAAGGCAGCTAGTATCCATTGCCAACTGCTGGGCTACTTTAATCGAATAGCGGGATTTGACACTCACGCTTACAATGTAGCACGATTCCAAGGTTCGAGATCAGATTTGGCGGTAAGGGGACGCGAACCATGAACCCTCAGATTCTCAGTCAGGCAAGTTAGCTACTACACCACGCCCTAAGTTCGGTATTTAGTATTTTCACCTGAAAAGTACCTTTGCGTCACATGGCTAAACAACCAGAGCAGAGATCCCCAAAGTTCAGACATCCATCCCAATTTAGTAAAGAACAGAAGAAAGACAACAATTAAGCAGCACTCGCCGCTTATGCAGTTATTTTTAACCGAATACCAGAACTGACTGCTACCCTCAAAGCTGAAAGTGTGAATGTGTTCTGCGGCATATTACAACTCAAATATCTAAACATCTGCCCTGCAGCTCGGCATACAAACAACACCAAGCTCCATAGTAAAGTTCATATATTTTATATCTATATCCCTTAATCTTACTGGCATCTCAATGTATGAATAGAATATATTCTGTCTTTTTTTTTTATCGAGTTAAGAAATGCGAGAAAATACATTAATTCTTACACAAAGAGCTCTCGTACAAGTGGCAGAAAATATATATTGAGAGTAAATATTCAAGTCCAATCGCTAACAGCAAGTTACTTAATATTCATGAGTAGAATAGGCGGGGCTTTAATGAAACGTTATTCTGGTATTTTAGATATCCAATGAGGTACGTTGTGATCGAGATCAATTCGCTTGTTTTCAGATGCCATCTAATGTATTTCAAAACATTCAAGAAACAGCTATCTAGAATCTGGTGGACATGACGAATGTCGAGCCCAACGTAAGGAGTGTGAGATCATATTTCCGAGGTCATGACGTTTTAATTATGCTCCGCCTCACGAGAAAGTATCTTGTCAATATTAAGTAACCTCCTACTAAAGATTGGTCTCATATCCTGAAGGATCATAAGTGTTAAAAATGTTTAAGCGGACCTTAATTTTTTCACAGATACAATATCTTCTCATGAATAAAATAGAAAATCCTAAGCAACATATTTCACTTATTATATTTTTAATTTATTTTGACATTTTCCAAATGCAGTTGAGGTCGTAGCCTTAAAAATGGTGAGAAAGGAACTGCAACGTTCAAAAAATAAATTTTGAACTATAGTCGCTGTCGTTTCTCTTTATTGCAATCAAAACAAGATGAGCTAAAGCTAATATGGGCTAATTCCCTTCACAATTAGTTAAAATTGAACTGCGAAAAAATATTGCATACGATAAAAATTCACGAAAACAAAAATGATAACCACGTATTAATTGCCACTAATTACTTTAAAGAAAATGGAGCA